GGCTTACGGCAATTCAAATGCATTTTCAACTTGTTTGTTGTAGAAGACCCATCTGAGGAAAGAGGTACTGAGGAAGAAGAACAGCGTACGCAGAAGCATGAGCCGTCACCGACAGACAAGGTTGATGAATATGATGGGTGGAGCGAAGGGGATGAGTACACAACACGTTGTTACTGTACAATGAGTCACAACGATGATTTTATGATTCAATGCGACGTTTGCAAGTTGGTTTTTCTTTGGTTATTCTTTTTGCTCTAGAATATAAAGAAACATATTTCCCTTTTTTTCAAAAATGTGAAACAGTGCTAGTAGCGTAAAGTGTTATAAAATACTGTTTTACTTTACTGAAAAACATCATTTAATCTTCAGTTTTAACTTTTTTTTGTGATTGTTCTTTGTACTGAGTAGTACGAGCAGTGACAGGGTTCCAGTGTCAAATCTGGTTTATTTCAGCGTTTGGCAACATATGGTATGCATGGGTGTTGACAAGAACTGTGTTCCTAAAGTATATAAGTGTGAAATTTGTAATCCTCGTCTTCTAAAGTTTTCGGTGGCTGAGGCAAAAGCCATACAAGTGAAATATTTGGAGATGAAAAAGCGAAAAAAATTCGCTAAACCAAAAGCCAGGAGAGTTGATCCTGTGGCGAAAAAGAGGGCTGCGTCGAAAACAGTGAGTTATAAATTGAACTGCAGACTTTGTTCAATTTTCGAATCTTTTTTTGGCAGAGAAGCCTTATTTTTCAAAAACGATCTTTTTTCTTTGATTTTTTAACTTCATTTATTCAGAGGGAAAAGAAGACGAATTTTGACAGTTCATCTAAGAAGTTTGTGGAAACGAATGTATATGACTATTCGCGCGGCGTCCTCGCTTTTGCTAAACGTCAACCGGATACTGTATGGTTTAATTACTTGGGGAAATAAGGAACATTTAGTCATTTCAACTTTCATATGTTTTAAGGGCAATATTTCGCTCCTGGAGTCTATCAAAAATAATGAGACAGTTCGCGTTATGTTTGTTGCGCAGGACAGTGAGGGACTGGTGTCGACTCGAAGTTTTAGGAAAGGAGAACCGGTGGTTTTTGTTTGTGGTCGTCTTTGCTTGCCATCGGAATGTCCTGGTAGGGAAAAGCCTGGAAGTATTACCCC